AGAGAGAGACAAGATTGAAAATAAAGCAATGTACATGTGGGTACTACAGGTTTCACTTACCATATCAATGGTATCATGCAATAAAGATTAACAGCTTGACAGGCAAAAACGCTAGCAACAATTAATCCTAACTGACTAAAAAATAACAAAAATAATAATTATGAATGTACATGCACCAATTTCTTACATTAATTCATAACCTAATGAATTTAATAATAAATTAGCCATAAGAACAACCAATGCAGAAGCAACAAATCTAAAAAAATGAATAATAAATGTATAAGCCACATAGAGCTACTCACGTTTTCCCACATATGACGCTTATGAGCACAATCCCTGGCAAGAAACCAAGAGCTGTTCTCCAGTTGTACCTATAAGGCGCTCCTTCTTTATACCACAGCGGGATACGGACCTGTAGATACATACAATATGAGACTATTAAAGCTGCCAATGTCTTACTAGAGGCCTTCTGCCTTCTCTAGAATCTCTCTCTGGTAGTTGGTGAGGAGTCGCCATGCTTTTTTAATGAGCCACACCCACTAATAGCCACGCCTACATAATTAATTTTTATTGATTTTTTTCTGATATAAAAAATTGAACTTTCTGCCAGTGCACTATGATCCTCCTCTGAAGCTGATTTTGAAGCAGCCACAATTAATTTCATCGCATTCAGGCGGCTTACACTCACAGTGACAGTTACATGGACAATCACATTCAGGGCACTACAAAAAAGAATCATGATACAACTGTTGATAATTATGCTACTAATAATAATAGGAGGAGGAGGAGGCATTACCTGTGCACAAAGCCCAGGGCCAGTTGATTCTGGACACAAATGAACACCTTTGCAATATTCTGATACAACTTTAAAACAGTGGCATGAGAAAACTTGACCAAAAAACGTACTGCATTGCTACAAAATAAGATAAAAAGAGCAGGATATACATTTTGTGCTTGAAATTCAATAGCAGACTGACTTGTTGAGAAGGACAAATACGATCAAGCAAGGTACCTGAACTGGGGGTCTGGCAATCACATTTCTGTGCTAGCAGAATACAACACTGGCCACAACCACCACACTGGCACTCATAGTCCTTACAATAAGCCGGGTACCAGTCCCTGTTACCATAATGACTCTATATTTAATAATAAAATGACAGATTAAGTATCATTGAAACTTATATATACATACTAGTAAAATTTTTCTCAGGCAAAGAAGAAATAAGAGAACGGCCACGAAAATGATAATAGCTATTACTACGATAATGGCGGGGGATATGAGCAGAGAAGGACTTGATAATGTAGGCTATAAATAAAAATAAATAATAATAACAAAAAATTAATCTTACTGTTGGTTCTGAACCATCCGCCATCTTGTCATCCTGTTACCATGGAGATCTTTACCACACCCACTCAGGCCACGTGTAAAAAGGTAATAAAATTTATGATTGGAATAACTTTATTTTCATGATTTTGCTCCTTTCTTTCTCTCTGTAGTGAGTTATGCCGGTTACTAGCAGCAGTAAATCAAGAGGGAGGTGCATAGACAAGATACTAGTTGGTTTTGTAATAGGTAGTACAGTGGGTGCTAGTGTTGGAGCACTTTATGGCGGGTTCTTTGGTCTGAGGTACGGGCTCAGAGGAAGAGAACTGTTCACTAACCTTGGCAAAGCTATAATACAATCCGGTGGAACTTTTGGTGTCTTTATGGCAGTTGGGAGTGGCCTCAGATGCTAACCATTATAGATTTATTAAAATTAAATTTTTGACTATTCAATTAGATGTTCATATTGTTTTCATGTGTTAAAGATCAATGTCCTAATGTTAAAGAAGCAATTGCAGCTCCTTATTGCTACAAAAATAGCACCCAAACTAATTTATATAGCCTTTGACTTTATTAAGACGAAATATCAAAACTCTTTCAGAATTCTCCATACAATATTCATTATTAATGATCTATTAATTAATGGACAGTCATGTGATGCTTCCATGCCGCCAGACTCCCGTGGTTAGGTACATATTGTACATTCACCCCATCATTGAAGAGACGCTTCTCCCTCTTCATCGTGATGTAATCATCTCTGTTCCACCTGGTAAAACCCCACTTACGACTAACAAAGATCTACAAGAGGTAAGGAAAGTAAAGATGACACTCATCTATACAGAACCTCTTACCTTTTGACGTCCAGGGAATTTAAATTTAGCCCGACGGAGTGCCTCAATAATGGAAGCCTCGTGCTGGTCCTTAGAACGGATGGAGATGATTGGCTGGCCAATGTGTACACGTGCCACCGTCCCCTGTGGCTTACCAAAGGCACCTCTCATACCAGTCTGAAGCCTGATATAAAAAATAATCATATGTTAATAGATGTAAAACTAAGGATTTTTAGATCATAAGAGTATTAATGTAGAAAGGGACTTTAGTATTACCTGTCGGCTCCAGCACATGACAACATCTTGTTAATACGAATGACATGGAATGGATGGAGTCTAATTCTCATGTGGAACTGGTCCTTGCCACAGTGCTTTACCATGTACTTGTTAGCGCAGATACGGCCAGCCTCTAGTGCCTCGGAGCTCAACTGCTCAAACTCATTGGATATCAGGTGAATACACAACGGGAAATTATCAACCGGGGTCTTCTTCGCACCAAGGTCGTATATACGAATCTTGGCATCTAGAATTTAAATTATTTTAAAACCCCAATGAACCATATTTTTCATTAATAGCTTTACCTGGTACACCACGACAAAACCTTGATTTTGGATAAGGCTTGTTCTTACAATACCTGTAACTAATAGAAATAAGAATGATTGTGTCAGGTCAGTTTTGTTCACATTTCCTCTATTTCTTACCATCTAGCCGGCCTCCTACCCATTTCTAAACTTTAATATACTTTGTCAAGGCTACAGACTGACCTGTAATGGAGTGATACAATATTAGATATAAAGGATTGAAGAGGATACAACTTTACCTGCTGACGAGTATACCCTCGTGCAAATGGTGCAATATGGCTAAAAGAAAGGGCGTGGTAAGAGGAAAGATTGTTAATTGTGCGTGGGTGGCTACTTTTTAATAACCACTTAATAACCGTTAATGGGCGGGGTCTACCCACGTGCTGCAGTCATGTCAATTCAAGTCTCAACTGCCAATGATGTAAAAGTTTACAACATTTCCACTGGGAAAAGCCTACCAGAAGTAAGTGCATTTCTTATACTTCCCCTCATCTCTTTTTTTGTAGTGGATATCAGAGAGAAAAAGAAGGTCACTGCTAAAGAATGATGAAAGTGAGTCACTTGACAATTATTTTCACCATCTCTCTCATCTTGATTCAGGTCTCAGAAGACGTATTGAGTTGATACAGGATTTCAAGATGCCTACGGCAACAAATGTTGTAACCCTCACCCCCGACAGTCAGTATATATTCACAGCTGGAGTCTATAAGCCAAGAATATGCTGTTACGATACTTCTCAGCTTTCAATGAAATTTGAGAGATGCGTCGATAATGAAGGTACAATAGATAATTATTATTTATATTTGTTGGAGTATAATTAATGATACTAGTAATTAATTTTGAAATGGAGAATTTTCTTCTAATCATTTTAACAAAGTACCCTGTACTAAATGGTGTTTGACCAATTTTTTGAGCAACTTTAGAAATTTGTAAAATATCCAAATTTCATCTAAATCAGCTCAAACTTTCTATGCAACATAAGAACATGTATATGTATCGGAAAAATTATAAAAATGGAGAGTTGTGTCCTAGCCATTTTGACTAAACACCCTGTACTATATGTTGCATTAGTTGTTGCCATGACAATGCTCTCAGAAGACTATTCCAAGTTTGTTTTACTTGAGACGAATCGAAAGTTGGAATTTCACGTTCAGGTAAGTGAGTAACAGACCTATATACACTCTTTTAATGCTAATTAAAAATATCTTAGCATGGTCATTATTACTCGACTCGTATTCCGACTTTTGGACGAGACATGACTTACCATTATCCATCCTGTGACCTCTACATAGCTGCTTCAGGGTAAAGCCATATCCTTTTTTGATAACTATTTATAATTATTATGCACTTAGTTCAGATATTTATCGACTTAATTTAGAACAAGGAATGTTCCTATCTTCATTAACTACTGTTGGGAGGTAATATTGATGATTATTATACCTTTACCTTTATTATTATTATTATTATTATTATTATTATTACTAGTGGTTCAAACGCTATCTCTTTATGCAAGGAGCATCAGCTATTAGCTGTTGGGACAGAGGCAGGAAGAATCGAGTGTTTTGATCCTCGCTCAAGATCCCGTGTTGGGATTTTATCCGTCACCACCGACAAGTACACAAAAAAAAATTCCAACTGACCAAGTCCCCCCATCTCCTCTATCATCTAGCTCTCCAGTGACAGCAGTAAAGTTTAATAATGCATTGACTTTAGCCGTAGGGACGGGTGGTGGAGTTGTCAAGTTGTACGATATTCGTTCAAGTGTTCCCTTCGCTGTTAAGGAGCATCACTACCAATTACCAATACAATCTGTTTCCTTTCATAGCCACGACGATCTCGTGTTATCAGCTGATAAGAAAGCAGTGAGAATATGGGATATCAGCGATGTGAGTGTGTCTAACTATTCAAGCTCATCTTACATGTAAATTCGCACTCTCTTTCCAGTGCACTCCATTCACTAGCATCGAGCCAGAGCATGATATTAATTCAATGTGTCCAGTTCCAGAGACCGGACTAATATTTCTAGGTGTTGAACACTCTCAAGTTCTCTCTTACTTTATACCAGTAAAGAAAAATATTGTTATTATTATTTTTAAAAATTATTATTATTATTATTATTATTTATACAGCAGAAAAAAAACACAAAGGCCTACACTAAGACAAACATTATTATTTATTTATTTATTTATTTATTTTATTTTTAGTCTTTAGGCCCTGCCCCCAAATGGTGCTCTTTCCTCGATAGCCTGACTGAAGAGTTGGAGGAAACTCCTCAGTCTAATATCTATGATGATTATAAATTTGTCACACCCAAAGATTTAGAGGAACTGGGTGGGTCTCGCCGAATGGATGTGGCTTGTATAATTTTTTGCAATTTTTTAATTACAGGTTTGTCTCATTTGATTGGTACTAACCTGCTCCGAGCCTACATGCATGGATACTTCATCGACATTAGACTTTACCACAAGGTAAGGGATTAGTGGGCGTGTCACTTGAAGCCACACCCTCGCAGGCAAGATCTATTGCGCAACCATTTGCGTACGAAGAGTATCGGAAGAACAAGATCAGAGAGAAGATTGAGGAAGAGAGACAGAACCGCGTGCAAAAGAAGGTATGGAACGCAATCAGGCTGTGAATGTCAGTTCCATAGTTGATTAATTTCTTATTTTAGGCACTGCCTAAAGTGAATCGCGAGTTGGCAAAGAAGTTGATGTCAACTGATGAGACAAGCAATGATAAAAAGAAAGGGAAGGCAAAGAAGACTGTAAGAACTAATGAGTGGACAAATGTCACCATTACTCTCAATGTATCCACAGGAAGCAAACCCAATGACTGATGACAGGTTTTCTGCTCTCTTCAGCAATCCTGACTTTCAAGTTGACACTGACAGTCAAGTAAGTACTAATTGTAGTATAACTTGTGTGTTTGCATTTTCAATTGTGTGTCCGTACATTGAAAATAGAATACATTTAGTAGTCATGTACATATACAATTAATGATTGATAAGTAGTGATTTGTCATGATTCTTTACACAGTTATAAAGCATTTTATTCAATAAGAGGTGGTATATGTATAAGCACTGTATGTGTTTGTGTTTTTTCATTGTTGAAACTACAGGAATACAAGCAGTTGAATCCTTTGCTCTCTCAAGCAATGAAGCTTCATGATAAGACAATGGAAGAGGAGGAGGAGGAGGGAGAGGAGGAAGATGAATATGAAGAGAGGGAGTACATCAAAACACGCCTCCCTTTTCCTCGTCCTACAGAGCCGGTTATTTCAATTGAAAAAGGAGATGTTCGGAAAGGAAATGGCCAATTGTCAAAGTAACATGATTACTACTCCCTGTATAATTGCCACTCATCTCACTCCCACTCACCATGAACCCACCTGTGCACACCTCAGTTTACCCACTAGCACACAAGCTCAGCCATTATTCCCATCTTAGTAAAGTAAACTCACTATTATCATAATGGACTCTTGCTATCACTTAAGCATTTGTGTACATATCGTTGGAGCCAAATCTTATAATGCTGTCTTCAAAGGGCCCATGGTTGTTGGTTTAATCTCATTAATCTCTTTTACTTAAAAAAATGAAAACATAAGGGATTATAAACTAGGCATTGAAGGATGACACACACTCTCTCTCTCCTTCATTCTCCCCTCATTGTTTACAAACACATAGATGCTCCATTGATAGACATTGTTACTATGCACTTTCAATAGGTTACTATTAGGAGAGAGACTCATGGACTCAGAACCACAGGACAAACGGGAAACTATTGAGACAAGTACTGGTGGTGCTTCTATTGGTAATGCACTGTCGACCTTTACTATCAGAAAAGAAGTACACATTATGTTAATTCTATAATTCATGCAGGGTCTAGTAATTAGTGTAGTAGCCTATGCTATAGATAGACTACAGGTGTTGTGGGTTGCTGGATATATATACGAGGATGTTGTACTTGATTAGAAGCTTAGACTTCTAATCAACTAACATTTGTATATATCCAGTAACCCTCAACATCTGTTGCTTATTTGGCTTGTATGGATCTTGTTTTGATATAAGGGGAGAGAAGATAATCGGTATACTAACTATGCCATTTTATTCTCATTACTATTATTGTTTTCACACACACACGCACACAGTCTGCTGTGAAACAGAAGCAAGCAAGCATTGTGCATAGAAGAGAAAGGAAGAGCATAAGACGGTCAGCCTCCAATATCTTACCAAAAAGGAAGAAGGGCCAGGGAGTGTATTGGAAGGGAAGGAGGATCAAGTGATATTGGGGTCATAGTGTACCATTATTGTGATTATCAGGAAGCTCACTCTGTTTATATTTATAATCTAATGTTTATTATTATGCCAATTAAGTGATCATAACATCAGGTACTGTATGCCTTCTGGATTCCCCCCTCTCTCTCCTCTTCCTTGTATCTTCTTTCACTTCTAAAATCTAATAATAATGGATATTTAAAAACACAAACAGTCAATATTGAATAATAATAATAATAATATAAAATGATAGTATCAAATAGTAAGAGAAAGACGAGAGACACAAGTAAAGAGAAGAGATATAAAATAATTGGAGCTACAAAAGCAAACAACAATTATACAAAAACAAATATTGTTTTTATTATTATTACTGGTGACTATGGAATCAAATGTCAGTTTAATAATAAACAGATTCGTCCTGAGACAAAGGGCCAGCCTTGCTTGAAGGAAAGAGCCCGGAGGATTCACGAAACTCCCTGATCGAAGCACCAGCAATACCCATCCACGAGGTAGCAGACTCTTCGCCAAGCACCCAAAGGATTTCATCTTTTTTAAACACGAACTTTCCTTCTCCTATATAGTCTTCCTTTGCTTGATACAGACTGTCTGGAGGCGGGAGGACTTTAGTAATGACGTGGGCTATGGGGCCTATCCACTGTCCGTATTCCTCTAGTGAACTGCAAGAGAACTTGTGGATTGCGGACCCTTTCTTAACGTGAAAGCCTAGCTTACCGTCCGAAGACTCTATGTGAAGCTCTGCCTCTTTTGTGCTTAGCCTGTAATGGCTGAGTTTCTCATTGGGTCCTTTGTAAAAGATGAGCGTGGTTCCTTCCAATACTATCCAGTCAGTCGTGTAGCTAGTCTTTCCTGGCCCCATATACTTCAGGTTCCCACTCATCAGTCCACGCTTGTTTCTCGGTGCTTCTGACTCTCCTGTTGGTGAGTCTCCAAACATTTTACTCAAGTTAGCTACTTTACCTGAGCCAGGTCTCTTTGGATTGATGCTGCTGCTTGTTACCGGTGGAGCTGGGCGTGTCACTCTACTGCTAGGAGGAGTCGTGGTTGCAGGCGAAGTTGCTTTTGTCTTGAGGGTAGGGCTATCTTTGGGTTTAGTTGTTGTGACGACAGATTTTGGAGCTGGTGGGCGTGTCACAGGGGAAGCCGGTGGGCGTGTCACAGGGGAAGCCGTTGGGCGTGTCACAGGGGAAGCCGGTGGCGGTGGACGAGAGGGTATACTAGTGTTTGAAGAGGGTAGGGGAGGACGTGGTGGGGGTTCGTCTGTATCCACATCAACATACAACTCATCTGACTCTTCAATGACCTGGCCTGGCCCTGGCATTATCATATCACAGTAGTCCTCTTGATCGTCCTCACCTCCCCCAGTGACCATGTCCTCGTATAAATCACCAGTACTCACGTTTGAGCTCAGTATCTTAGCTTTGGTACTCACCACGTCGTCATAAGTCTCTTCCATTTCTTCGATCCCACCTCCTCCACTTGTTTGGAGTCCAACGACATCATCGTACAGTTCCTCTTCGACAGGCTGTGGGTTGGGTATGACCACACCCTTTTTACTGATAGGAGAAGGAGAAGGTGCTTCATAATCGAGTGGTGGCTTGCTGACGGGGGCTCCGCCTCCTTTTGATGGGCGGGGAGGTAGAGCCGGCGATTCCTGTTGCTGTGGCTGATTCCGTGGCGGTAAACTAGGGGCAGCTGCTTTGACTTCATTCCGAGGAGGAAGGGACGGGATGGTTGGGGCTTTCACCGGAGAGGGTATATCTGGAACGTCCAAATCGTCGAGACCTTCGTAAATATCCTGATCAAAGTCATCATATATCTCTTCGTCTTGAGGCTGGGCAGTCGCTGCTGGGAAGGAGTGGTGTTCCGGGCGAGGGGAGACTGGGATAACCGGAGCTGGTTCGTCTTGCAACTCTAGCTCTTCGTATAATTCTAAGGAATGAGAATCAGCAGATATTTATCATATTTTAAACAAAACACTTTCAGTTTGCAATAATAAATAAAATCTCCCAACTCATTTCACAGTAACAAATACACTAGCCATTTTTACTAGCAGTATTATACTTGGCTGTTGGCTTGTTTGTAAATACTGTAGTAGTAGCCATTATTTTACTGGCATGAGTCCATTAAATTGTTCATAACTTGCATTCTTCTATGTGTGTATTAATTTATTTATGCAGCAGCTTGTCTGTTATTTAATTACTACCTTGAATGTATGGGGTGCATGATAGTCAAATTGTATTAAGACTTATCAGCTATTTTGACTCAACAAGCTAGCTATTATGGATAAATTAGATATATAACCCTCACATGTTCTATTCATTATTAAAAACAAGTGTCAGCCAGCTTGCTCATATTTTACTGTAAACATTTTTACTATTACAGCATTACTATTTTGACTCAACAAGCTAGCTATTATGGATAAATTAGATACATAACCCTCACATGTTCTATTCATTATTAAAAACAAGTGTCAGCCAGCTTGCTCATATTTTACTGTAAACATTTTTACTATTACAGCATTACTGTTTAATTGACTAGGAGTGACAGTAAATCAACAGTCTTCTTAGCATAATACATAGAAAATTGAACTGGCCTAGTTTCACGGTAAAAGTGTTTAGCTTGTATAAACTGTCAGTTCATACTGTTGGGGGTACAGTGTAGGTAGTGTTTATAGATACGGAATAGAAATAGTGTTGTGTTTCTACAGAGCAGGGAAATCTACAAACTCTTGTTGACAATAGTAATGGCATGTGTCTATACAATGAGAGAGGACAGGAGGCATGAGAATGCTTGACTGTTGGGTAAACACGTTAGTGTAAACTATAGCCATATGTTCATTCACTCTCTCTCTCTCTCTCTCTCTCTTACCTCCTCCTGCGTCTTCATCTTCCGACAACAGCTCTTGTATGTCTGCATTCCCAGAGGCTTGCTTCAAGAAGGTCAACCATAAATTGAAGTCGCTCGCAGAATCAGTAGCAAATGTTTCCTTGCTCTTTCCAGAAGCAAGCCAGAGAGCGTGGGGGTACTTCTTGTCATTAATTTTCTTTTCTTCAACTTTGCTCTCTGGCCCCAGTGGAATGACACCAGAGACTTTCTTTGAGGTCTCGTTTGTGGACATAAAGAGACTATTGTCGTACGTGAGTACAACCCACACCTTATCCCAACCAAACTTTCCCTTCTTGTAAAGATAACCTTTCATCTGGGCAGTGCTGGGATCAGGCATCTCTTGCTTCTTCTTTTTACCGCCAAAAGAGAAGTTCTCGTAGCTCAGACTTTCTTTGATGTTAGGAGTTCCCTCCCCTCCTCCTCCTCCTCCTGTTCCTCCTTCTTCATCCACTGAGACAGTGATCTGAGGAACTGCTACACCTCCCGATGAGTCTGTAATACAAAAGGAGACATTAATTAGTATTGTGTTCTTTAAGTGCACATAACATATAAGGAAAACACTAATTCTCATTAGTAAACAATAAACACGCAATTCCTTATGCTTCCAATACATTGTCACGGATCATTGATAGCTCTTATCATGTTTACCTTCTTCATTTTCTTCTGGCAACTCCTCCACTGGTGTGCATCCATCTATTGCTCCCTTAAGAGACTCGACCCACTTAATGCAGAGCTCTTCAGAGTCGGTACGGAATGTGTACGACTTGTCGACCGTATGTAACTCGAATTGGTACGAGTCTCGGACAGCAGTCGCTGCACCGACGAGTGAGAGGGTAGTACCATCTTTGTCTTTGTTGGGTTTTGCAAAGTGAAAGGTGTCACCGTTAAGGGTTGCCATCACTTTCTGGTAACTATACTTGCCTAGTCTACGGGTGACTCTTTCTAGCTTAGAGGAGAAAGGTTTCTGATCTTCCTTCTCTTCTTCTGCTCCTCCTATACTTGGCGTTGTCTCTTCTTCAGGAGCAATTGAAGTATTTTCTGCTGATATTTGACTAATGTTATCAGTGGATCCTGTATTCTCTGGAATCGAGAGTGATCGGTCTTTATCTTTGCTCTTTCCTTTAAAAAATTTTCCAAATTTAGATGCAACAGTGTGACTACGTGCCTTTTTATCTACGACCAATTCTTCTGGTACTTTTTGCTCTTGGGCGTCTATATCATTAGATGGTCTGTCCACTTCGTCTTCCTCCTTGAGTTCTTCAATTTCTTCAATTTCTTCGGCAACAGTGTTGGACGTGTCGCCATTAGCTGATGCAGCAGTGGTAGAGTCCGGGACTTCTTCGGTACTAGGCGAAGCTGGAGCAGGTTCGTTGGTTTCGTCTTGTGAGTCAGTTTTTATTCCTAGTTTCTTCATCTCTCTCTCTTTCTTTAGCTCTTCCAGTGTTTTGTATTTATAGTTCCCGGCTCTCGAGGGCTGATCAAAACGACTCTTAATATCACTTAACTTGCTGTTTCTCCTCTCTTTCTTCTCTGCTTCAGTCGTGGAGCCCTGGCTGGCTTTCTTTTCGGGTGATTCTGGAGCTTCTATTTCTTCATCGTCATCGTCATCGCTGTCATCCTCGAATTTCGGAGGGGCCTCTTTTCTGGTGTCACCCTGTAGGTCGAGGAGCCTCGACATGAGCTGCACTCTTTTCCTCTCGTAAACTGGAGCCAGTTTTGCTCCTTCCAACATACGGAGGTAGACCAAGGCATCTGGAGGGCGAGAAGGAGAGGCAAAAATATGTCAACAAGATATGAACATTTTTTCTAATTTTTTTTTTACCTTGGACGCCTTCTTTCAGTTTGTTGGCCATGAGAACGTCACGGACACTCATGTTGAATGTTTTGGGTTTGCCTTTCTTATACTCTCAGCCAGTGACAGACGGTACAATAGCAGGAGAAACAGCTCCTCTATGTTGTTACTTGGAAACTATTTGAGTGTTTAATAAACACTGAGTGTAGGCGGGAGGAAATGCAGATTAGAATCTAATTATTAAGATCACTGGACTTCCTTTCTAGAATGCATTTATAATTTGTTTTTTGATTGGACTAGGATATCAGTCTTCAGTACACCTGTTTAGATTTACACTTCACATGTGTAGATCAAGGCTAAAATTTCATCTAAATTTTAATTAGCATGCATATAAAATTTTCATAGCAGAAAATGGTAGCGCTGTTGTTGTTCAGTTGAAGCCGATTAAATTTTTCAGCTTCCTTTTATAGCTTGCATTCTTCCTGTCCTTTGCAAACCACTTGCTTGTGTAAGTACTCGTGTAGTTCAGTTACTAACTGGTCGTCAGCTTCTGGTGTACCGTAAAGGTTCTTCATCTGATAAGGATCTTTGCTTACGTCAAATAATTCAAACTCAAACCCTTTGTCAGTGAATTTCATCTCTTTCACATCTTGATAGTACTCAACGTAGAGATAATTATGAGTATCATTGACTAGTCTTATACCAATATAAGTGTTGTTAGGCATATCAATGTAATGGCCGTAGCGAATGACATTTCCAAGTGTCCAGTACTCAATTGTCATTCTATCTCTTGTTTCATCTTTAGGAGCAGATGAATCAGACATCAATAGACTTGCAAATGAGTGTCCATCCATTTCCTCAGGAACTGTACCTCCTCCCAGCTCTATTATGGTTGGTGCTACATCTACCATACTTGCTACAAATGAGTGACTGCCTTGTTTAAGACCTGGCCCTTTTATGCGAAAAGGAACTCGAATATCGTGATCATAAGGCTGGAGTTTGCAGCTTGGTAGTCTAAACTGACCTAGTTGAAAGCCATGATCACTAGTCCAGAGTATATATGTATTATCAACTTGATCATATTTCTCTAGTAACGAAACAACATCTTTTGTAATGTCATCCACTGAGAGAAGCGAACGCCAACGATCTCTGAATAGTGCATCACTCTCATTTCCTTCCTTAGATGTTAGGATCGGCTGTGATCTGATAACGTAGTGATGATCAGCTGCTGAATAATTATAATTTGGAGTTCTTGGTGCTTGCTTATCGCTAAACTTATCAGCATACCATGGAGCTGGTGTAGCGGGCACATGAGGAGCATGAGGTGATATATAAGCAAAGAAAGGTCTACCAGCTTGGAGTGATGCCTCAATGAAATCAAGACTGTGATTACCAATAACTGATGTAAGGTAATCCTCTGGGTCTTTTCCTTTTTCCACAAATGTTCCATTAGAAGTAAAAGTGTTACCGAAGTATCTGTTATCATTGCACATGGTCAGATAAGAATCAAAGCCAGGAACAGGTACAGCGTTGGTTTTGGCACAATATGCTGCTACTCCATTGGGATTGAGTAGCTTTCCAAATTGACCTGTAGTGTAACCAAGGGCCTTCATGTATATGCCAATAGTCCTTTGCCTAAATTGATCATTCATAACATTCATGTGCATGCACCCTCCTGTGGTTGTATGCCAATTGTGTGGATAGCCTCCACTTAGCAATGTGGTGCGGGATGGACAGCAAACAGGAGTATTGACAAAGAAGTTGTCCACAGTAGCTCCAGTGGACATCAGCTTTTCAGTGAAAGCCATAGGAGTAGTGCCACCAAGTGTGATATCCTGATCATCATTAAAGAGCAGAATGATGTTTGGCTTTGTACCAGGAGCCACAGCTGATTCTGCTATTGCTGCAGCTATTGCTGCAGCTACTGCAAGAAGACAGATAAGTGCAAGGGAAGCCATTGCTGCTGATGGGGTAAAGGTCACAAGACTTAATGAATATGTGCACACCTTATAAAGTGTGGACATAAAATAATGCTTTTGGTATTCATTGGTAGGAAAAATCTCCTGATTTTTTAGTAATGGCTTTCCTTACACTTATCTGTGTTCTTGCAGTAACTGCAACAATAGCAGAATCAGCTGTGGCTCCTGGTACAAAGCCAAACATCATTCTGCTTTTTAATGATGATCAGGATATCACACTTGGTGGCACTACTCCCATGGCTTTCACTGAAAAGCTGATGTCCACTGGAGCTACTGTGGACAACTTCTTTGTCAATACTCCTGTTTGCTGTCCATCCCGTACTACAATGCTTACTGGAGGCTATCCGCACAACTGGCATACAACCACAGGAGGGTGCATGCATATGGACACTGATAACGATCGGTTTAGGAAGAGCATCTTTGGCCTCAATTTGCAGTCACTTGGTTATACAACTGGTCAATTTGGAAAGTTACTTAATGGCATGAAAGAATACTGTTCAGAAAAGGATCCTCTTCGTCTGCCTGGTTTTGATTCCTACTTGACCATGTGTAATTATGCCAGGTACTTTGAGAATACGTTCTCATCCAATGGAACTCTATATAAAACAGGAACTAAACCAGAGGATTACCTTACATCAGTTATTGGTAATCACAGTCTTGATTTCATTGAGGCATCACTCCAAGCTGGTAGACCTTTCTTTGCTTATATATCACCACATGCTCCTCATGTGCCTGCTACACCAGCTCCATGGTATGCTGATAAGTTTAGTGACATGAAAGCACCAAGAACACCAAATTATAATTATTCAGCAACTGATCATCATTACGTTATCAGATCACAGCCCATCCTAACATCTGATCAAGGTGATACAAGTGATGCACTATTCAGAGATCGTTGGCGTTCACTTCTCTCAGTAGATGACATTACAAAAGATGTCGTTTCATTGCTAGAGAAATATGATCAAGTTGATAATACATACATACTATGGACTAGTGATCATGGCTACCAGCTAGGCCAGTTTAGATTACCAAGCTGCAAACTCCAGCCTTATGACCACGACCTTAAAGTTCCTTTCCGTATAAAAGGGCCAGGTCTTAAACAAGGCAGTCACTCGTTTGTAGCAAGCATAGTAGATGTAGCACCAACCATAATAGAGCTGGGAGGAGGTACAGTCCCTGAGGAAATGGATGGACACTCATTTGCAAGTCTATTAATGTCTGATTCTCTTGATGTAGCTAAGGATAAAAGACGAGATAGAATGACAATTGAGTACTGGACACTTGGCAATGTCATTCGCTACGGCCATTACATTGATATGCCTAACAACACTTATATTGGTATAAGACTAGTCAATGATACTCATAATTATCTCTATGTTGAGTACTATCAAGATGTAACAGAGATGAAATTCACTGACAAAGGGTTTGAGTTTGAATTATTTGATGTAAGCAAAGATCCTTATCAGATGAAGAACCTTTACGGTACACCAGAAGCTGATGACCAGTTAGTAACTGAACTACACGAGTATCTACACAAGCAAGTGGTTTGCAAGGGACAAAAGGAATGCAAGCTATAAAAGTGTGTAATGATGAAGCTATGCTGCTGAGAACTGCTACCAAATTGCTATAATTATATCAATTAATAAAATTGCTAAAATTATTTCACAAATTTTGACAAAGATTTATTAACTAACAACAATACTAAAACACTAACAATACCTATAATGATTAGCAATAACAACAGTAACAGTAAAATAATAATTATTATTACTTTATAATTATGCCAATGAACAAAAGCAGAGTCTCTTCTTTAATCAAATGAAATGAGAGGAGGAACTGAAGGAACACGCTGTATCTCTGAAGGAGGGAGCCCCTCGTTTGGCTGGAACAAAGGAACCTCAGTGGATGAAGAAGGACCGTATGGTGGAGCTGCTAGAGTAGACGGAGCCATACTGGGAGGAGCCCCATATGGAGAAGAATAAGAATAATTAGGAGGAGGAGGAGGGGGGCCGAGATCAGGTGGCTGGTATAAAGTAGGGGGCTGATAGTGTGTGGGCGGAGGACCAGGTTGAGTGGGTGGAGGAAGAGTTTGAGTGGGCGGAGGACCAGGTTGAGTCGGCGGAGGATGAGAATAGGCTGATACTGGGAGTTGCTGGTAGCCTGAGATTGGTTGATAAGTTGGTGGATCAACTTTAGGTGGTAAAGGCCCTGCATAACTCGCTCCAGGAGCTCCATAAGGCTCCATAGGGGGAGGCGGAGCCATTGAAGGAGGAGGGGCATTATATAGAGAAGGAGGAGGAGCACCATAGGGAGCTGTTTCCATGCCAACAGTGCCTCCGCCTACTCCTCCAAACTGTTGCTTGTATACCTGCTCTTCCAGTGTTATTAGTTTCAATCGCTCGTTTTCTCTCTGCATTGCAAGTGTTTTCTCATATTCGGCTCTTTGATTACTCAAACGGTTTAGTCTCTCGGACTGCATTGACTGACCGTACGCCATTTGCTCTGCTTTCTGTTGTCTGAGCAAAGCGAGTTTCATTTGTACTTGCATTTGAGCCAGTGCCTGCTGCTCCCTCTCCTGCTGGAGTAGCTGCTCATCGTGTCGCCTCTTCATCGTATCAAAAGTGATCCTGGCTTCTTTGGACTCTTCTAACTTGTGCAGGAACCTCTCTTGATCAGCTAGTGGGAAAAAACGGAGATATAACATGTACACACGTGTCAATTTATACATGTACTGTATATTTAAAATTATTCAACTTTCTCTCTTTTCCCCTCACATTTCTTCTCTTGTGTTTCGTCTATTTGCTGGAGGAGTTGAATGTGTAGAGCAGTGAGGTCTTGATGAAGGGAAAGGATGGCCTGATCGGTCGCGATGCTCAATCCTTTTCCAGAGACGTTCTCCATCCTCTGATTGAACTGATCAATGAGTCGATTGAGTGTAGAGCAAAGTGGAGACGCACCATTGACCTGAGGTGCTGGCTGTTGCTATTTTTAGTAACAAAATAAAAGAAATAATTGCATGTACACTGTTACTAAAAATAGATGTATGCTTCTCTTACTTGTTGAAGTTGTGTTTGTGAGGTATTTCCAGTCCTTTGCTGCTGTCCACGTGAGCTGTATTGCTCAAACTAAAAAAAAAGCAATCCGCATCATAAATTTTCCCTCCATCAGTATTTTCTCTCTCTCTCTCTCTCTTTCTCTTTACTTCAGTCATTCCTTTATCAGTTGTCTTTGGAGCAGGCACGGTGCTAGTAGTAGGTGTGGCCTGAGACTAATAAAAATAATACGAGTGTATTTAGTGTCAAAATTCCTACAAAATTGTTTTCATTAATTTGCATGCATAGCTAAATAAAAACAAAATTAAGTACAGTAACAATTTATGGAAAAGAGAAAAGGCCATGGTTTATGCTATATAGAAAGCTTGAGCTGTTTATGACAAATAATTTATGAGTATTTTTAAAAACAGGCTAATTTTTTCAAAAAATTGGGTCTAAAATCATCCCAAATTTTTATTACATTTTCTGATACACATTGATGTCCTTATGCTATGTTGAAAGTTTGAGCTGTTTCCAACAAATAATTTTCGAGTTATGAGCATTTTAAAAAATGAGCCAAATTTTGAAAAATACCCAAGGCTATAGCCCATGGTTTTTTCTGAAAATTGGCTCCGAAATCACCCCAAATTTTTATTATATTTTTTGATACACATCGATGTCCTTATACTATGTGGAAAGTTTGAGCTATTTCCGACAAATAATTTTCGAGTTATGAGCATTTTTAAAAACGAGCCAAATTTTGAAAAATACCCAAGGCTATAGCCCATGGTTTTTTCCAAAAAATGGCTCCGAAATCACCCCAAATTTTTATTACATTTTCTGATACATATTGATGTCCTTATGCTATGTTAAAAGTTTGAGCTGTTTCCGACAAATAATTTTCGAGTTATGAGCATTTTTAAAAAGGAGCCATTTTATAAATTGGCTCTGAAATCACCCCAAAATTTATTACGTTTTTTGATGCATAAAAATTGAATTCTACACGTGTACATGTACAGTATGCATTTGTATCTTACAAAGTCCAAGTCAGCATATATTGGGCCATACAGTGAAGAGGGCGGGGCTGATGGAATTGTTGTAGGCGGGGCTGGAGCAAAAGTGGGTGGAGCCACTGGCTCAGATACTGGCTTTGAGGAACTTGTTTTCTTTTTCTTTTGAAAAGATAAATTAAAGACAATTATTACATGTACATGTACATGTATAATGTGATGGTAATTAAATTGGCAGCTTTATATTTATAGACACAATCCCTGCCAAAACTAGCAAAACCAAAAGTCTCTTTGCACTAAATGCACATACAGCAACAATCTACATGTACACATACATGTACTTGTACCTTATTCTTTTGCTCCCTTGGTGAAAATTTCGATTACATTTACAGGCAAATGTACATGTACATGTACAATACATTACTATTATTATTATTATTATTACAATAGATTCATTTTCAATTACGTACGTGTACACATACACGTACAATATATGGTATCATGATGATGATGATGTAATCTTTACTATTATTTACTAATACAAGCCCCATGTCTGGTCATAGCATACCTTGTTCTCTTGTTCATTGAGACTTATAGCAATGGCCATCTGTAGGTCCTCCTCTTCCTGCAAATGAAGCTCCTCGGTATTAGACTGAGAGGGAGGAGGCTGGGGGGAGGGGCCTGGGCGAGAACCATCCGGACTATCACTCGACTCACTACATGTAATAACATGTGAATGGGTGTGGTCACACAAGGAGCTGTATAACTTACGGCTTCTCTAGTTTCTTGTAGCAGGTGATGCAAACGATTTGAGGAGCGTCAAAATCAAAATGAGGCAAGTCGATTGTCTTTTCACCTTGACAGGACCTGCATATGCTCTTACCACAATTACGACAATGATGCTATTAAAGAGAGAGGGAGAGAGAGAGAGAGAGCAGTGACACTGTGAGCATTAGAATGAAATACATACTCTTCTGTTTCCCAATTTGCTAAACTTCTTGTCACACAAATAGCAATTATCAGACTCTTGAAAGTCTGGTCCCTAAAAAACAACAATAAGAATAAGTGCATACGCATGTAAAACACATTCAATTTCAGTTTAAAAGTTGTGAGTGGGTAAGAGGCTCCGTGTAAACCACCTGCTGCTATCTGGCTAGCCAGAAGGTGTCAACAATCTTGTAAACAACAAGTGAGAATTACTTATCTCATCTATTAGCTCCACCCAATATGAGATAATGTTTACCTTTTTGATGTAACTAGCTGATGCAATGGTAGCCTCTGGTATATAGTAACCTCCTCTCTCTAACTCAGTGAAGACGTTCAATACTCCCCTATAAGCACTGTCTTCTCCAAACGCTGCCTTCCACTCCCCAAGGACTTCCAGGATTTTATCTATAGCCCGTGACATCCCGGAGTCTTGGTTTTCAACGAGTGCCTTCATTGACGTGAGGAGCTCCTGGGAGAGGAACTCACGATGGATCGAAGAAGGCGTGTTTTTGACAACTGCCTCTACGACAAACATGGCATTTAATACAACGGACTCTTTTGATTCAAGTAGCTTCTTTCTAACTTCAGAGCTGGCTTTCTTGGGACTGTGTAACACAAAGGAGAGAAATTCAATACACTTATATTATAAGATACTGACGGGTATTCCTTTCTTTTCAACATTTCCACAATCTCCATTATTCCTCCCCAATTCGGTTCTGTCGTTCCTCCACTGCATATTGTATCTATAGGAAGACTTAGAGAAGGGGTAAATCAGAGAGAACTAACCTAAAATCTGCTTGAACTCTTTCCCAGACATTGTTATATCTCACTCTTCTTGTGCTGACTATTTGTGTGACTGTCTTGTGATTTTTTTATTTGTTTATTGTGGTTAATTAAGATTATCTAATATTCAATAATAAACGGAAGCGTGACTTCGTAATTCTCCGTAAAATAATTATGAATAATCATAATCATTGTAATAATTAAGAATGATGATTGCAAAAAAACAATAATAATAATACTGTTCTGCTTTATGTATTTCCAGCATCTTTTAAAGTATTGTTTTTCTGTTCTACAATATTTGCTGTATCATTTTTTCTTGATTTACTATTTTGCTTGGTAGGTCTAGTTTCTTTTTCTTGTTGCTTCTCTTCCTCTTCACTTAAACTTCTTTTCTTTAACGACTCTTTGTTTAAATTTCCATTCGGTAACTGTCCCAGTCCATCTTCTCCACTTTTATTCTCTTTGACATTCTGTCCTCCATCTTGCTCACTTTGAACTGATTCTTGTGCAGGATCTTTCACTGGATCTGGTACACTTTTTACTGGTTCTTGAACATTTGGTATTTCGTCTTGTGGCTTCTTCGCTGGTTCCTGTACATTCTGTGCTGGTTCTTGTACATTCTTCGCTGGTTCCTGTACATTCTGTGCTGGTTCCTGTACATTCTTCACTGGTTCCTGTACATTCTTCACTGGTTCCTGAGCACTCTTTACTGGTTCCTGTACAGTCTGAGCTGGTTCTCCACCACCTTTATTATCTGATATGGCCTCTGCCGGTGGGTCCGGTAAAGGTTTCTGGCCCTCAGGGGGTGATAGCTTCTCGTTTGATTTATTTTTCAACCCTCGCTCTGTTGGAGTGTTCTTCTCACTGGCAAGGACTCTTAGCGGCTTGAAAGGTTTCTCATTCTTAACATTATCCTCAAGCGAGTCCTTTTCATGTTTCAGAGTCTCTTTGAGGTTCTCACCAACAGGAGCAACAGGTACTACAGGATCATCATGAGGTAGAATGGCATCCTTCCCTTTTCCTATCAAGTCTTCAGCAGGTGGTACGACTGGCTTCATGCCCAGTTCCTCAATCACATTATGCTCTCCTTGTAGCGACGAGGAAGAAGCTTTAGGCATCAGAGCAGAAATAGTACCACCAAACAATAATACCATCCCGACTAATAGAACCACCTGCATGTACATACATAAGAATAAGCAAGTATGTAATTTGAATGTGTACCAATGCTTTGTGTGTGTTTTCATTCTTTTCTTTTATAGCATAAAGATAAGATAGCGAAGGAAATATGAAACAAATAATTGCGCCTAACACTGAACCAGTCAGAGCCAAAACCAACTCAACTAAAAGAGAGAGAGAGAGTGAGAGAGAGAGTGAGAGAGGAAGGAAAGCATCATAATCATAAAGTATACACTAGCTCACTGTTTGGGGTGAAGACTGCCACAAGAAAAGACGTAGTAATGATGGCAAGAGTGATATAAAAATGTTTCGGGTTCGAAATATAATTTTCTGTCTGCAACCAAAAAACAAGACAAATGAAAGTGAAAGAGAAGAAGGCCTCTAGAGCTTGGCACCTACTTTTCCATAGAGAAAAGAATAAACAGTGGATCTACAAGGATTAACCATGAACGGAAAGCTAACAACAACGGAAAGGACAAATCCTATAAAAAATAACAAAGCAATAAGAGCCATCTCCTCCTTCCCTCATAAAGTACCTATTCGAGTTAACTGAGCCAATAGACCATCATCAAAATTAGCAAGGACATCTCCTTTAACTCCACTGCCAGAGAATGCTATATGCCCAAACAATGCAGCCTAGAGTAAGAGGGACAGAATTCCGGAAGTACAACAAACAACAAACATGTACTTGTACATGTACATGTAATTTGTACATGTACATGTTGTTCAATATCCTTGATGAACATGATAAACAAACTCACCGATCCGTACACCACTGATACCATTAGGATAGCCCGTGCTATGATACTTTTAATCCTCAGACGACTCTCAATGTCTCCTTCGCGTATTTCACCGATAATCTCTTTAATGATCGCAACCAATTGCCTAACGAAAAACCCTCATTATTAGAAATCTAGGCCTCCATAAAACAATAATATATGGTAGCTATTATGTACAAGGCTATTGATACATGTACATGTATGCATATCAAAAAGACGCTATTCTTACAGGTGGCAGGAGAGAGACATGGCATAAATAGGGACAGTGTGGAGTATCCCTGCCGACTTCCATAAACTAATTTCTGTTGTGCCAACCTTCTGTAGGGCATAGACTATCAACTGAAAAAAAGAGAGACATAAAATAAAATAGACGCAATTTGAGTGAGAACCTGGATTGTGAGCCAGGCATAAAAACCAATCGATGCTGTACTCAGGGTACTCAGAGAATCTAGCTGTCGTAAGAGCGAGAGTGGAAAAATAACGGAGACTCCGAGAGAGAAGAGAATAAGAATCCTAAGGTAAGGGAGATCAGGAGGAATTGACGCTACCCAAGCAAACACGACTGGAGCAAGGTCGGCTATTATCACAAAGAAAGCGGAGCATGTTCCGACCATGAACAAAGCACAGCTGAAAAGAGACAATTTACCAACAGGTACACATTGAGAATAGCATAATGAAATAGAAATACACATGTGTACGTATATCATTTGCTAATTACACATGTACTTATTCTCACCTAACTTCCAATAAAAGCTTGCCATATCTCCCGTAAAGTGCAAATGCTGTAAAACAGGCTTTGCTTATTTTCATTTATGCATTTTTTCTTACCTATCCCTTCGCAAGATATTGATTTCTTTTCATATATACAGTCAACCAGTAGCTGTGTGGACCATAGTGTCATCAGAGCGGCAGACACCAGCAACAAGCCACCCAACAACACTCCACACTAGCACACAAGACAATAAGACAATGAAATGACATGGAATTTAGATTAATTTATGGTCATCGGCTCACTTGTGAGAAACAGTAAGGTAGAACGAGGAGAGAGACGCCACATATGCTGTTACCAAGGTTTATGACCCAACGAGTATCACCCTCCATATTGCACACTAACAAATGCAACGTTCTCCACCCAAGAACAAGAATGAAATCATGAAATCAACTTCTTTATAAAAATTAAGTTACCACGCCTGACCACACCTAGATACACGCCATTTTAATTTTGGCCCCTCCCAACCCCGCCCATATTAATTAACCGCACATGCCAATTATCCTATAGCGTTCCTTCCTGATAATCCGATATTGACGTGTGAGGAGGATTTTAGAGCTATTGCCTAGCTAATATTGTAAAGAAGGAGTAAATGTCATCATCACTTGATATCAGTAGCAGCTCCACTGGGGGTGGGAGCAGTAGCAGCGTCGACTCTTCTCCCGACCAGAAGAAAAGCACCTCTTGTATGTCCATATTTGGTCATAGGGCTAATCTAAACCTTTTCTGTCTCTTTCTCTAGCTAAAAAATGGGAGGAAAGGGAAGAAGAGGAGGAGGAGGAGGAAGAGGATCAAGATGATGATGATGATGATGCTGCAACTGATGATGAAGAAGATGACGAAGAAGACAATGTAATTTTAGAACTAAGAGAAGTCTACAAGCAATCCGTTACCACCACAATGCAGTTTGAAGACTCAAGCGATTCACTTGATGCTGATGATAGCGAAAAGATTAGAGTAAGAGGAGGGAAGGGGCGTGGACTAGTAACGTAAATATCATAACTAATGCAACCACACCTTCTCATTATTAATAATTATTAACCGTTTGTTTTTAATAATTATCATTATTTATCCCACCCACTTGTTACAGGCTAAATTGCGTGTCCTGAGAGACTATGTTAATGACTTACAGTCCAGCTATGACGAGCTATTGGATACGTTTGGTGAGCTGGAGACGGCAGCCAAGGAGAAGATTAAAACGTTGGAGGACAAACTTGCTAAAGCTGTGAACTCTCCAATGGTAAAAGGACAATAAAGACAACTCGATAATGCGATGTTCATTTTCACGCACATTACATGTTCATTGTACATGTACATGTACATACACATGTGCATGTATAATTCCACGGCCTTGTTTGTTAGTGGCCTTGTTTGTTAGTACCGTACAAGATGATGTATTGGTGAGAGTAATATTTGATGAATTTACCTCTGGAAAGAAATTGGCTGATTTTATATTGGTGATTCCATGCCACGAGCCATTGAGCATGCTCAGATTGAAATAAAATGGAGGATTTTATATTGGCAATTTCTTTATAGAACGACCAATCACCAATATTAATTCCTCGCCAATAAAATCATTTTGTACGATACATGTAGAGATCACTTGTAGAAGAGTGCTCAATGTTTTTTTTTTAATTTTGACTCAACATCTATTTATGGCATAATAGTACTAGTACTGTAATAATAATCTTAATAGTAATCAAAGGATTCACTACTGCTGTGTTATTAATAACATGCATTTCAAATCATTCATTTTTAGATGTTTAGTAAGGACTCATCCACAACAGGTTTAGAAAGGGAAGAGTATTCAGTGCAGTCACTACCACCACAAGTATATGTTGTACGAATTCATTTTTACATATAACATCGATGTATTTTAGATGATCAATAAGGACTCATCCACAACAGGCTTAGAAGAGCAAGAGCCTTCTTTACAGCATGTGCAAGTAAGATATGATACTGAGGAGAAAGGAGAGTGTTAGTAATTTTTATCTAACGAGTGCTTTTTAAAAGTGTGTACATTTTAGATAATGATACATTTTTTACATGTACTTTGTGCATGTGCATAACATTGATATTAATTTTTTAGATGATCAGTAAGGATTCATCCACAACAGGTTTAAAAAGGGAAGAGTCTTCAGTTCCTCAAGTACATGTACAAGTAGATGCACGTGTACCTGTAAGTTGAGAATTACTTACAGATTATTGTTATGTACACGTATCAAAATGATTTATAATTTATTTTCAGATGATGAATAAAGATTCGTCCACAACAGATTTAGAAAGGGAAGAGTCTTCATTACAATCACTACCACAAGCACCTGTAAGTTAGGACATGTATTATGAATTGTGTCTTTAAATTGATTTGTCTTTAGATGATGAATAAAGATTCGTCTACAACAGATTTAGAAACCAAACAGTCTTTGCTTAGTGCAGAGATATTGATGCACGAAGCTAAGATCCAGCAGCTAACTGATGAGAACCAAGAGCCTAGGTCCCAGAGAGACAAACTGGACTCAGTAGCACCATCAGATACTCAGAGAGAACCAGCTGGCAATGAGGAACAAATGAAACGCTTTCTCTCACTAATCAATTCAACCAGAAGACAAGTAATTAAAAGGCATCGTAGTAATTATTATGAATTTTGTGTTTGTACTGTAGCTGTCAAGCCTTTCCACATCTCCTACAGTGAATGAAGTGAGTGACTGGAACACTGACCAGCCAAACAATGTGAGCTCCTCAGTCTTTAGTCCATTCACTTGTACATTGTGTGTCATCTCTACTAAAGGTTGATCAAGTAGCACTGAAACTAGAAGAGGATGTGTCCAGTTTGAGAGAGAAGTGGTCAGAGTTGAATGCTCAGCTGGAAGAGAGTCAGGGAACCATTGCAGAGCTCACAGGACGTGAGCTTGTACTAACTAGTCAATTGGACCAGTCTTCAGCTCGTGTGGTTGTACTGGAGTCATTGCTACAGGCACAATCAACAAGCCTCATGGGCCAAGAGGAACTACTGACTAAGGATAACTCCTACCAAGAGGTACAGTACATGTAAACGGGTAGAGAATGTAATGTACATGTACGTGTATATCTATAACATTGAAAATGAATTTTTTTTTGGTGTTTTGTTTGCAGATGAGTGATCTACAAGAAAAACCAAAGAGTCTCATGACATCTAGTACGGAAGAATCCAGGGAACAAGTAAATCAGCATACTCTACATGTACATGTACATATTACAACCAATGCCTTGTTGTGTAGATAAATGTACATGTACCTGTGTTTGAGAGAGACTGTCATATAGCAGAGCTTGAGACTAGAGTACAGGAACTGGAGTATCAGTTACAAGAATCAGAACATAATCGTGAGCTCCTCCTCAACGAGTCACAATCAAACATCAGGAAGTACTACTGGAACAAGGTATGTCACCTATCACCCCTCGTTACTATGGCTACCTCCCGTTTCTAGGCGAGTAACCGTGACGACGATGCGAGTGATTCTACGAGTCAGAGCGAGGAGTTGAGGGAGGAGAGAGATGAACTGATTAATGAGGTGGAAAGAGAAAGAGAAAAGGTTAGGGAGTTAGAGAAGGCACAAGAGATTGCTCTTCAAGAAATGGAACTCCTTCAATCAAAAATAAGATCACTACCACAAATAGATGTAAGATAAGATTTTTGTACATGTACTTGTAGCTGTACATGTACACATAATTATTCTCTTTTTCAATCATTTAATTTTCACTTCACATTGTTACTTTTTCAGATGATGAGTAAGGATTCATCCACAACAGGTCTAGAGAGGGATTCTTCATTGCAGTCACTGCCACAAGTAAGCTAAGAACTACATTACTCTTTCTAAACTACACTGTACATGCATTTTAATTTCATAAGGATTCCTCCATGAGGACCACAACAGATTTAGAAACTGAACAGTTTTCATTCCCACAACATGTACATGTACATGTAAGTTGAGCATGTTTTTTATTTGCACCATGTGCATGTACATATGTACTTTTAGATGATGAATAAAGATTCGTCCACAACAGATTTAGAAATGAAACAGTCATTGTTATCACAAGCACATGTTCATGTAAGCTGTTACTCTTTAACACTTGTACATGTGCAGTGCAGTACATACTGTATTATCAATTTATGTATTTTTAGATGATGAATAAAGGTTCGTCCACAACTGGTTTAGAAAGGAAAAGGTCTCCATTACAATCAATACCACAAGCACCTGTAAGTTAGGACATGTATTATGAATAGCGTTTTTAAATTGACTTATCTTTAGATGATGAATAAAGGTTCGTCCACGACAGGTTTAGAAAGGGAGGAGTCTTCAGTTCCTCAAGTACATGTACAAGTAGATGCACGTGTACCTGTAAGTTGAGAATTACTTACAGATTATTGTTATGTACACGTATCAAAATTATTTATAATTTATTTTCAGATGATGAATAAAGATTCGTCTACAACAGATCTAGAAACTAAACAGTCTTTGCTTAGTGCAGAGATATTGATGCACGAAGCTAAGATCCAGCAGCTAACTGATGAGAACCAAGAGCCTATGACCCAGAGAGACGAACTGGATCCTGCCATGACAACAAAAAGAGCAGTACCAGACACTACTCGTGCAGACTCAGCTGGCAAAGAGGGACCAGTAGCACTGAAACTAGAAGAGGACGTGTCCAGTTTGAGAGAGAAGTGGTCAGAGTTGAATGCTCAACTGGAAGAGAGTCAGGGAACCATTGCAGAGCTCACAGGACGTGAGCTTGTACTAACTAGTCAATTGGACCAGTCTTCAGCTCGTGTGGTTGTACTGGAGTCATTGCTACAGGTCCAATCAACAAGCCTCATGGGTCAAGAGGAACTACTGACTAAGAATAAATCAGCATTGAATATACTGAGAGAAGAGATTGAGGATACTAAGAATAGCTATGAGATATCCTGCCAGGAGGTACTGTTCAATTGTACATGTACAATGTGTACATGGGTGGACTGCATGCACATACATATACATGTACATGTACTACATACTGTATTTCCTTAAATAAAAGCCCGGGCTTCCATTTCCTAAAATGGCATTTGGACCTCAAAAAAATTAAAATAAAACTCTGGCCCAGAGTGGGATTCAAACCTGGCACCTCATGCATTTGACTTCAGGAATCTAAGGAAGTATCTAAAAGGCATCTGAGTTATTTCTCAGTTAGATTTGGGTATTTATACATGTACATGTGTAGTTCAATTCTATTGCTACCTCGGTGTTTATTTGCATCCAGCTTTATTTAAGAATATACGGTACATGTATTCTGATCCGGGTTTCCCTTTGTTTTTATACGTATACAGTACATGTTCTGGTGCTATATAGAAATTTTGAGCTGATTTTGATAAAAATTGAATTTTTACAAATTTTTAAAGTTACTCAAAAATTGAGACAAAGTCCCTGTACTGTAGTACTGGGTCTTTGGCCAAATTTTGCTAAAAATGACTAGGAGAGAATTCTCCATTTTTATAATATTTTCTGATACATATACATGTTCTTATGTTGCGTAGCAAGTTTCAGTTGATTCCGATGAAATTTGGATTTTTTACAAATTTTTAAAGTTACTCAAAAATTGAGACAAAGTCCCTGTACTATAGTACAGGGACTTTGGCCAGATTTCACCAAAAATGAGTAGGAGAGCATTTTCCATTTTTATAATATTTTCTGATACATATACATGTTCTTATGTTGTGTAGCAAGTTTCAGTTGATTCTGATGAAATTTGGATTTTTTTACAAATTTTAAAAGTTACTCAAAAAGCCATGTACATGTATGTACATGTACTTTGTAGTACTTGTCAGTTCATAAAGCTCATGCTGTTTAGCTCGCATAAAATCATGATTATAATTAATTCATTTGTATGTGTACAATTACATGTACCGTATTTCCTTAAATAAAAGCCTGGGCGTCTATTTCCTAAAATGGTATTTGGACCTCGAAAAAATATGTAAAAAATTAAAAAACTTAGGCCCAGAGTGGGGTTCGAACCCGTGAGCTCATGCTTTTGACTTCTGGAACTTCAGGCATTATCCACTAGACTACTGAGTCACTCCTAGTCTAGTGTTGCGTATTTATAGTTAAATTGTATTGCTACCCCGGCGTTTATTCAAATGCGGCTTCTATTTAAGGATTTACGGTACATGTACATGTAATGTTTTGTGTGTTGTAGATGAGAGAGCTACAGGAGAAATTGAGGAGTGCCATGATGTGCAGTGTGGAAGAGTCAAGACAGCAAGTAAACCAACATTATGTGTACATGTACATGTACATGTACATGTACATGTACAGGGTACATGTACATGTACAGGGTACATGTACATGTACAGGGTACAGTGTAATGCATGTAGTCTATTGTATACCTTAAGCCTACTATTTTTAGCGTCTACTAAATTTAGCTATAATTAGCGAGAGAGCTTTAAACCGCTAAATTAAATAGACGCCAAAATAATTATTATTCATTACAATGGTTATTATTTATAGTTAATTTGGTTAAAAATGCTAAAATTAGTAACGCTAAACATGACTTTTGCTGATTTCGCTAAAATTAGTAGACGCAAATAATAGTAGGCTTAAGGTATTACATGTACATGTACATGTACATAGATGTACGGTATATTGAAATAACAATGTTCTTGGCTGTAAAATATGCCATTTACATGTACTACATGTACAAAGATTTACGCTCCATTTTTTAATCATTAATGTACATGTACATGTACATGCACATGCATGTACTAGTCATGGTTTTTGGTTTCAGCTGAGAGAATTCTCTGAGCTGTGATGAAATACATGTACCATGTAATATGTTCTACAAACTGTCATCATGCATGGAAGAAATTCAATATTAATTCTCTGAGGGCATGTCATTTTGTCTGTATGGACTCTATTCTTCCTTCCAGATATTTGAGAGAGACTGTCACATAGCAGAGCTTGAGACTAGAGTACAGGAACTGGAGTATCAGTTACAAGAATCAGAACACAATCGTGAGCTCCTCCTCAATGAGTCACAATCAAACATCAGGAAGTACTACTGGAACAAGGTACGCCACCTATCACCCTTCGTTACTATGGTTACCTCCCGTTTCTAGGCGAGTAACCGTGACGACGAGGTGAGTGATTCTACGAGTCAGACCGAGCAGTTGAGGGAGGAGAGAGATGAACTGATTAATGAGGTGGAAAGAGAAAGAGAAAAGGTTAGGGAGTTAGAGAAGGCACAAGAGATTGCTCTTCAAGAAATGGAACTCCTTCAATCAAAAATAAGATCACTACCACAAGTAAGAGCAGTTATACATGTACATGTACATGTATGTACAGTACATGTACATGTATACATACATGTACACCTGCAGAAATAAAGATACTTGTACATATATGGTTCATATTTATCATTTGTAATAATTCATTTTTTATTATTTTGAAACCTGTCATGTTTCTGGTTGACTGGTTTTTGTGTATGTTGAAATATTTCCTGAATGCATCATAAGTCTAAATATGTACAAATCTTATTAATTAATTTTATTATGTTGCTATTGATATATAATGCACATGTACATGTATGTCATACATTCTAATTATTAAATTGTTTTTCTTTTAATTCAGATGATGAATAAAGATTCATCGACAACAGATCTAGAAACCGAACAGTCTTTGCTTAGTGCAGAGATATTGATACACGAAGCTAAGATCCAGCAACTAACTGATGAGAACCAAGAGCTTAGGACCCAGAGAGACAAACTGGACTCAGTTTATGAGGAGGTGGTGATGACAATAAAGGAGCTGCAGGATTCTTTGAGAGACGCTAAACTGGATACTCACAAAGCTCAGACAGAGTCAGCTGGTAAAGAGGCTCAGATGAAGCGTGTTCTCTCACTAATCAATGCAACCAGACTACAAGTAAGACCAAAGACATGTACATGTACATGTATAATGTAGATCAATGTATAAAGACTTTAAAGCCAATTTTGGAATAATTAGACACATTTTGGAATAATTAAGCACATTTTAGAAAATGATTTATGTACACTGTACATGTAACTTGGGCTCAGAATAAGCTGTAGTTAGAATAGCCAATATGTGATGTCAGCTTATTCCAGTTCACAATTTGTACACATGTAATTAATAATTATTGTGTGTTTACATTTTTGTGTATTAGTTCCAGTGCATCGATACGCGTGTACATGCACACGTGCCTCTCATCGTTATTACTTGAAAATGAGTTTAGAATTTCTTTTCTTTGAAATGCATGTACAGTACATGTAATTTGTTCTTGTAATCATACCAATAAATGATATCATCATTTCCATGTACTGTATGTGTGTGCATTTTCTAGCTGTCAAGCCTTTCCACGTCTCCTACAGTCAACGAAGTGGGTGACTGGAGCACTGACCAACCAAACAATGTGAGCTCCTCAGTCTTTAGTCCATTCACTTGTACATTGTGTGTCATCTCTACTAAAGGTTGATCAAGTAGCACTGAAACTAGAAGAGGACGTGTCCAGTTTGAGAGAGAAGTGGTCAGAGTTGAATGCTCAACTGGAAGAGAGTCAGGGAACCATTGCAGAGCTCACAGGACGTGAGCTTGTGCTAACTAGTCAATTGGACCAGTCTTCAGCTCGTGTGGTTGTACTGGAGTCACTGCTACAGGCACAATCAACAAGCCTCATGGGCCAAGAGGAACTACTGACTAAGAATAAATCAGCATTGAATATACTGAGAGAAGAGATTGAGGATACTAAGAATAGCTATGAGATATCCTGCCAGGAGGTACAGTCCATTGGTAGAGGATATTAGATTATTAGTACATCAATCATGCTGTACTTTCCATGGATATGCCAATTGTTGTGTGTCGATTGTGCATTTGTGCTGTGCATGTACCTGAAAATTAAATTTCTCTGTATTTACTTTTGATAATGTTTTGTGTGTTGTAGATGAGAGAGCTACAAGAGAAACTGAAGAGTGCCATGATGTGCAGTGTGGAAGAATTAGAATCACTGAGACAACAGGTAAAGCAACATGTGTACATGTACATTATTAGCGATTACCTCTCCTGCTCTCTCTCTCTCCCCCCCCCTCTCTCTCTCTCTTTTTCCAGATAAAAGAGCGTGATGCCAGAATAAAGCAAGTAGAAGATGAAGCTACTGATCTGTGGTCCCTCCACAACCAAACCTCCCTGGTACTGAAAGAAGGTGAGAGGGTACAGGAAGAGAGACTGAATCAACTGGAGGCAGTGGAAGAAGAGCTGAGAGAAGCAAGAGAAGTCATTGACCACCTGGAGAGTGAGCTGGAGAAGGATTGTGAAAGCAGGCTCAATGAATTGGATGAAGAGAGAGCACTACTGATTGACATCATTAACCAGCTGGTGGGAGGAAACATAGAAGAGGTACATGTACTAAGAAGTTTGCATGTATAAATTTATTCATTATTTGTGTGGGTGTATCATCCCAATCAGCAAACGGTGGGTGGGGCTGGTAGTCAATTTCAAAGTGTGTGTGTGTGTGTGTGTGCATGCTTCACAGCCTCTCTCTTTCTCTACATTTTCAGACAATGAGTAATCCGACAGATATACAGGCCAGACTAGCTCAAAGGGATCAATTACTGTCAACACTCCAAGAGGAGACCGCTAGACTACTGGAGACACATTCTCATGCTTCACATGAGGTAAGCAGACTCTCTGCTCCTATCCTTATTTGTCCAGTATCACTTCTCTTTCAACGATACCTTTATGTTCATTGTGTCCTGTAAACCTAGCTCTTTTATTTTTTGTACAGCAAGCTTTATTAATATGTACATGTACATGCATACATGTACATGTACATATACAATCATAATACATGTACATGTATGTGTCCCTTTTACTCCAGGTTAAGGAGAGACAGAGGATAATAAATGATTTAGAGACAAGCCTTGCATTATCACAGGACCTCTGCAACACTTTGGACAAGAAAGTAAGCTTTGGACAAATTGGTACATGTGTACATATACATAATCACAATGATTAAAGAAAGTTTAAGAAAACACGGCAGACTTTGAACTGCTAGATGAAAGCTACATTAATCTACATTCTACATGTATTGTACATGCACATGCATGTACATGTACACGTACGCATGTACATGTACACATGTACATGTACATGTCAGTTTGTTATCAAGGCTTATATTTCATCTTTTATCTTAGGTTAATGGTAATAGGGTCAAACTAGACGCTGTTCAAAGAGAGCTGGCAGAGAGTGAAAGGGAGAAAGAGATTCTAGCAGAGCAAGTGATAAAACTTCAATTGGAAGCTGAGGACATTTGCAGTGCTCTTGAAAAAGCCCTGATCAAGAGCAATAAGCTCACTGTGGATAATCAATTATCAGTGACAAGTCTTCAAGACCAGCTCATGGTGGAGAGGTCAACCTCACGCTCCCTGAGATCAAGACTCAGTGAAGCTCTTGGAGGAGTGGACAGTTTGACGGATAATCTTCGTGAGACCGTCGTACGACTAGAGACTGAGAATGAGAGACTGAGACTAGAGAAAGGACATATTGAAGAAGCAATGTCTAACCTTCACGAACAAGTGGGTTCATCAGTACTTGATGTACATGGTGTGTACATGTAGGGTTTCCCACAGGATTTTGGCATGGTATTCAGCCTTCAGTGAATTTTAAAGTTGCTCAAAATCTGGTCAAAGACCATGTGTACATGTGCATGGTACTTGTATTTTACCAAAAATGACTATGAGAGAAATCTTCATTTTTATAATTTTTTCTGATGTACTTGCTCTTATGTTGCGTAGCAAGTTTGAGCTGATTCCAGTAAAATTTGATTTTTTAACCAATTTTTTAAAGTTACTCAAAATCCCTGTACTATAGTACAGGAACTTTAGTCAAATTTCACCAAAAATGACTGGGAGAGGAATTTCTATTTTAATAATGTTTTCTGACTTATGTTGTGTAGAAAGTTTGAGCTGATTTTGAGCAAAATTGTATTTTTTTACAAATTTTAAAAGTTTTTTGAAAATTTTACATTTTAAAATTTACATTTACATTACCAAACCTTGTACAGTAGCTTATGGAGCATACACATGTACATGTACATGTACATATTTTTTATTCTTCTTCTCTATTTTTCTCTCCCTTTCCTTCCCCTCCATTCCCCCAGTTGGATGAAGACAGCAGTAAGTATCAGTCCATGCATCAAGAACTAACAGAAGCACTGGCACTCATGGAAGAGTTAAAGAGACAAGAGTCACGGGCTAGAGCCGACAGGAACGAATCTGAGGTATTGGCGGAGAAAAGACTCGAGGAACTTAGTCTCTCTCAAGAGAAGTGCCACACACTTCATTGCATTAATGGACAACTAGAAGAAGAGGTACAATTAAAGGCCACCATGCACTATGAAACTTTGAATTTCAACTTCATGAAACATGCCTCAAGCTCCATTGACTCCTGTATAAAAGATGTTTCATTAAACAAAGTTTCATAGTGTATGATAGCCCTAAGAGGGAGGGAGGGAGGTAGATGCATGGATCAGGCATATAGAAATAACCCCAAATGAAAAATGCACAAGTCAGTGGGGGAGGATATTAACCACATAAGAAGTGTATTTATCTTGCATAACTCTTCAAAGGGCAGAGGGACAGGTGGTCTGATTAAACTAATGGGCCTAACTAATTCCCTTCTTTTGACTTTATTATTTCTGTCTGCATTCATTGGACAGATTAGGGCAATGAAAGAAAAGCAGGATAGCCTCCAGCAAAGTGTACAAGACACTTCAAATAGTTTACGCTCATTGGTGAGTTGTGAGTGAGCACGCATTTGCATGTACCCTGTACATGTGTACATGTACAGGGTACATGTGCACTGTACATGTACATGTACACTGTACATGTACATGTACACTGTAGACGTACAGGGCAAAGCGAAGCCAATAGTTTCTGTCACATTGTAACGAGATATTATTTTATTTGTACGAAATAATGTGCGTGTTTATGTACACGTACATGTACATGTATGTACATGTACGTGTACTTTTTTGCCATGTATGCTTAAGTGGTGAAACTGATACTCACACAATTATTTCCCACTCCCTCCCTCCCTTTCCTCCCCCACCTCTCCTCTCTCTCTCTCCTCTCACTCTCTAGTATGATTCAAAATGTTTAGAGTATGATCAACTTCTGTCAGAGCACTCTGTTCTCATTGAGAAAGACACTGTCATCTCAGCACAGGTACTCAAGTAACACCAAAACCAAATTTAAGACACTTTAAAATCTTCAATCTCTCTCTCTCTCCCTCTCTAGCTTGAAGAGTGCCACAAAGAGCTAAAGTTATGTAAGAAGAGAGCATCAGAGCTTGATAGTCGATACAAGGATTCACTGAAGGAGCTGGAAAGGACTCAAACAGAACTGGATGTGTTGAGAACAAGTGGAAAGGTTAGTATAGTTGTACTACATTCAACAATCCACCATAGTGACCTTACATGCACATGTACATTAGTATGAATATTCCTTTTATTTAGCAAGTATTTGTGATGAATTTTTCCCAATTATTAAGTAAAGTTTATGATGTGTTCTGGCTTCTGACAGTTAGTGTTTTAAAGTGCATTCAATATGTTTACTATATTGGGATTACGTCGTTATTACATCATCGCTATTATGCATGCATCTAAAGAATCTTGTCTCAGTTACTGATTTGGCACAAGAATCTATTTGATGTGTTCTCTTTGAGACACATTATATCAGCTTTTTAAACTGGAAGCGTCACTTAGCTGACACTCTGTGTCTTTATTAAAATTCTATTTGCTGCACCTACTGAATGTTTTTACATGTACATGTACATGCAGCGATGCCACGACTATAATAGTAATTACATGTACACATGTACTGTACATGTATTGCTTTTCTCTGGAGCATGTTTACTCCTTTGTAGTAATTCTTTATGCATATGTATATACATGTACATGTACATGCGTATGTACATGTGCATGTGCATGTGCTTATCTATTACCCCCTCTAGGCACAGCAGAATAGTGATAGAAAGGCGACACAGAAAAGGCTACAGATGCTAAATGAGAAGGTTTCCTTACTTGAGATACAGCTAAACACGACCACCGAGAGACTCGAAGAGACTGAACAAGCTCTCGTGAGCGTCGAACAAGAGAAAAGGAAACTCCTCCACAAATTAAGTCAGTGATAGAATAATAATATTATGATTATTTATTTCTTTGCTATAGGCACGTTAGAGGAGCACTACAGCTCACTGGTTAGGAGCCACTCCCAACAGAAACTGGAACTGTCTCATTCTCAGAGGAAGCTTGATCGTCAGCACAAGCAGTTCTCCTCGTTACAGAAAGACTACGACACAGTGGTAGGACAGATCAGTGACTGGGCGGATACACAGAGATCCTCTAGTGAGGGACTCATCAACAAAATAAAGTACAGAAGGCCCACTGTCATATTCGTAGTTTCTATGCATACAGCATGTGTACATGAACATGTATTATGCACAGTACCCTTGTAGTCTAAAGGGTACTTGCATGAATACTTGTACATGTACATGTACATGTACATGTACATATTCTTCTAGATATACATGTACATGTACTTCTTACCTCCTTCATGCTGTTATAGGGAACAAGATGATGAGATAAGCTCACTCAAAGCACAAAAGAGGGAGGCTCAGGCTGAGACCGAAACATTGAAATCACAGTTCCAGCAAAAAGAGCAGACCTCGCCTAATGCCCCATCTACGAATGGCCACTCTGTTCCTAATAGCCTTCGTAAATTAGACCTCCAATATCAGGCCACCCTCGAAAAAGGAATGTATGTTATGAATTATTTATTATTCTCTCTCCTTTTATTATTGACATGTATCCTATTCAGGTCAGGCGCTAGCGCTAGTGTTATGGATACTTCTGGTTACTCTAGTCCGACTGTTGATTCCTCAGATGAGATGGATAAACAGTATTGGATTAGGCGATCAGCAGAGGTGAGTATGGGAGGCCCTGGGATAAAAGAATTGAAGCAAACCCATTGGGCATTTTTATTACATGTACAATGATTACTCATGTGCATGTACATGTACATGTAGCATTTACATGTACATGTACTTGTACAAGTACATGTACATGTACGTGTACAATAAAAAGTGCTTATTTCCAGCATTATAAGCACATACTAGCATGTATAGGTATATACATGTACATGTACATACGATTGTATGGTACATGTATTATGTTGCAAGTTTTTTGCTTATGAGCATCTTATTACTTACTGAAACTTCTTAGCATAATGATTTTAAAAATGTAATGATCATACAGTACTTTTGAACCATTTTCCATACAAAATTTGGCAGTTTTTCAAACAATAGTATTGTAATGTACCATACCTGTGTGAATGTGTAGCGTAATCTCCTTATGTTCTACAAAATTTTTGAGCTAATTCTTTTGAGTTGGGCCAAATGCCTTTGATTACCCAATGTCAGGTGGGCCTGGAGCAAAATACCCTTTGGAGGGGGAGTAGTAGTTACAAATTATCAGTCACTACTAATGCAGTATTAACTTTTATGTATTTTGCTTGTTTTAGCTATCAATTCAGCTTCAGGAAAGCAGTGAATACTGGACTAATAGAGTACGTGAGCTGACTCTTACCAAATTGAAAAGCACCTCTTCATGAAATAGTCAACTTAAAGATTTTTTCATTCCCCCATTACAATTATTAATAAAATTTTGTCATACAAACATATTCAATTTATTATTATTGCTGGCCTTCTTCTCGTAATAATAATAATAATAATGGTTTATTTTTTCATTTTTCTTTTGAGTGTAATTAATTCCCACATAAAACTGACTTGTTATCATAACGTTTTTGGATTCGTACTAATTAGGGGCGGTTTTGTATTTATGGATCGATGGAGGAAGGTCGTGGGAGAGGTTTAGCGTTCTATTATTATTACATCAAAAAGGTCCTCCATTGTTTTCATATAGCAATTGCAAATGGAATGGTGCGGTCACTTTGATCAGTGTCTATACGTCAACCGCCCAATGCACTGTACTAACTAAATGCCAGTCAGTCCACGCCTGCCTCTCAGTGTCACAGTTGCTCCTGCAGATCAGATACTTGATGCTGCCTCTATAGAAAAGGCGATCAAGCGGAGAGTGGAACACTAAGAGTTTCTGTATAATCCTCATCTACATGTATCTATGGCTAGCAGCGATCCTGAGCTAGCGCTAGAGGAAGCACTGAGGCGAATTCAAGGAGACCACTCGAACGAGTCTGAGCCTGAAGACACCAGCAGTACTGTCTCCTCTACCGAAGAAATCCCAACGGACTATTCCCGGTAAGTATCCCGGGAAATCCTCCACATGGGAGCTACATGTAGTTGGATCCACACAAATGTACAGCAATGATTATCGTTATGAAAAAATAGGGCTTTTTATTTACATTATTGTTTTTGTTTTTATTTATTCGTATAGACGAGATACTAGTATCGTTGGACAATCAGTTGCTTCTGCTGGCGTGCGTTTGCTGTGCATGCCGCCTAGATCTGGTTCAGTCCGTCAGTCATCATCAGCTGAAGCAGGAGGCCCTGGGGCTACGCGTTCCCAGACGGTGCGAACTGCTTTCTTACCTCCTCGCTCGGTGAGAACAAAATCTTATCATAATATATGTAGATGTTTTCCATGTACTACAAATGCTAATAACTGTCTCTTATTCTTCTCTATCTGTGCATTGTAGTCTCGTCGAGCACAAACTGTCAATAATTCCAAGGACTCGATCCTAACTCAAACCGATTTCTCTCAGATGGTGTACGAGAAATTGGAGAGTGTTGCAAGAGAGAGACACCAACTGAAGCTCCGAGCTCAAACCCTTGCCAGACAGCTGGGTAAACCAATCAAAGACATTATGGTATGCCTGTATTTTGATAGTAACCTAATGATCCTGATTAAGTAACAAGCCTATAAACATTATTAATATTCTTCGTCCCCCTTCTCCTTTTTGTAATGATAATTTCCTTTGTACCTATGACTTATACATGATTAAAGAAGTCTCTCCCTTCCTCTATATAGTGTCCATTTGATAGTGTTATCCTTTATGTCTCATAATTCTGTCTCTTGGCTGTCGTCTCTTATTGTATTTTGCCTATTTGCATTGATTGTTAATGTCTGATCTCCCATTATCATTCTGAATGGGTCCCCTTGGTATATTTACCCGGTATATAATTAAAATGCAATAACAATAACCCTGTCTTTCTCTGAAAGGCGTATTTTGATGGTTTATTTACGTGTTGTAATAATTGCTTGTGTTATTATTGTTTTATTACTCATTTTCAAATAGTACTCAGCTATCCGGCTATGAATTAGCTAAAATTTCATTCTCTTTCCACTCTTTGATATAATACTATACATAGCTACCAATACAGTGTAGAAGAGAGCTAATTATTATACTATGCAATTCATTTCTTCCTCTCCTATGTACACAACTTGCCTTTGAAGACTGGCTTATCCTTTACAGCTTAATAGCTCACGAAGTAGTACTAATTGCTACACTGATAATGTAATTCCATGCTATATACAACTTGCCTTTGAAGACGGTTGGCCTTATCACTGCGTAGCTGTAATAACATATAAAATTTATTATACTAGGGCTGGTACCTTGCCTCTATCAGTACAGAACTAGCCTTTGATTATCTTAAGATTTATAACAGAATAGTATTATACGATTCCCCCACTGTTATCTATATACTGTATACGTACACAGCTGGAAGCTTTGATGACTCCAGTGCTGTAGTATTGGCCTATATTAAATCAATACTCATTTGTTCTCTCCCTTATCTATACAGTCCTTGTCTTTGAAGTATTGATAGTGTATGTGACACAAAGGCAAAGGAGTTGCTCTTTTATTATTGTAATAGTACTACTATTTTTATTGACTCACCCTCCCTGTTCGTCTTTCTTTAACGACATGCGCTAAATAATCCTTGTTCCTTTGATACCATTAAAGAGCTAGTAGCTAAACATTTTAAGTACATGGCTACATTAGTATTATTATAACTGCACATCCACTGCTACCATCTGTGCCTTTCAACTTAGTATTGGCATGCACAAAGCATTCGCATTACATAACAAGCACGTACATTTATTATCATTATAGTGCACTTGTGAAAGGATAACCCATAGATTGTATCGTTAAATCGTGTGTTCAATTTTTGTGGGAGAATGTATTATGCATAGTAATGACCGCACTACTCCAGGCTATTAAAATGCAATAATATTGCAATAGCAAACATTATTTGCATTCACACACACACACACATACACTATTCAGAGAAGCGTTGGTATTAAATCCTTTTCTTTTCTCTATAGTCATTAGATTGGAGTGATGCACCAGACTCCAATAGGAAATTCATCTCACTATCGCCCGAAGAGAAATCCACGACGACAAACCAGAGAGAGCCATCCTGCAGTGACAGTGGGCTAGGATTCAGCTACCTAGGACAGTCATACTCCGATCTGAGATCAATGGACGAACAGCAAGACTGTCTATTGAACCAATCAACATGTTCATCAAAGCATTCTTATCATAGTTCACTGGAGTACAATAGCATTGTACCACCAGTAGTGGGCCCTTCTCCTGATGGCCCTAGACACATAACAACATCAATCACACAGCATTATCATCATCCACCTTCTCTGTCCATTCCAGACTTTACAAGGTATGTGAACTCATTTCGTGTGTATTATATTATTTATGTATTACTAATAAATAGCCCAGTCCCCTCCTCCTCCTCTTCTTTCTACTCTGGTTCTCTTCATCATCAGCCTCACCACTCACGTCATCAGCATCCCTCCCACCGCTCTTCTCCTCTCCCCTACCACACCGTCCACCCTCTCTCCTCTGCTCCACAATCCTTATTACCAGTTGGGACAAACTCTACTGCTGCTACACCCCTCCCTCTCCCTCCTCCATCTCAGTCTTTATTGGTAGCATACACAATAGACACTTCAAAGAACACTTTTGCCAAAAGAATTAATCTGGTAGCCCCAGTGTTGACACTGAGACAATTTAAGGATGACATATTTGCAAGGAAAGGATCGTACAGGTTTGTTTGAAATGCTTTGTATGTGTGTATGTTCTCTTAATGAGACTAATGCCAGTCATGATTGCAGTCATAGAGCTTGCATACTTTTGAATTAGTGGGTTGAGGGGAGAAATGAGAGAAGGAGAGGGATGGAGGATATAATGATGACATACTTTGTTTCGCCATGACAATATAGATATTTCTTTAAAAAGTACTGCGAAGAACTAAGCGATGTGATATTGGAAGAAGCAACAGAGGACATGCAAGTACTCCCACTGTACAATGGTAGCATAGTTGGACATGTTGAAAAAATAGAGAGAGACTAGGTGTTGCTCTCAGTTGGCGTGCAATTGCACATTCACTCTCTGGCAGCCAATTTGACAGGCACTTTTTATCTTTGTTACATTATAATATTATTATTAATATATTATTATTATTTTGTTATTATAACTATTATTATTATTATTATTATTATTATTATTATTATTATTATTATTATTGCTCCAATTGATACATGTTTTGGTGTGTGATTGTGAGTTTATTTTTATTTTTGATGGCTCGTTTTACAATGATGAAAACAAAGTCTGTTATCAAAGCAGCAAAGCTAACATTTGGAACACAGCGGGGTCCTTTGTGATGCTTCAAGCAGAGAAAAGCAAACCTTTATTAGCTCATCAAAGGGAGTATGGTGTTTATCACAAGGAGCTGCTTATTATTCTTACATTATTCATCATTAGGAAAACTCTTTATCATTTTATGCCTCAAAGAGCAGTCTCCCACTAATTACTTTATTCATGAGTGGGTGGTCAATTATTCATTAATAGGCGTGGCTCGTTACAAGTGCCACTCCCACTAATACTGCCCTCCATTTACAGCATGATGTGCTACAACAAGGGACCAGGAACGTTTTGATTGGTGGTCGGCGGCTCAGCTTTGTCGTCATATTATCAAAGTATTATTGTTTGCATCCGACAATCCTTTGAAACTCTACTCCAGGCGTGTATAGTACACACTGTAGTATTAACAGGCACTGCCCCGACCGCCCCTCTAGCCACAAAAAAGGGAGAGGATCCGTCTATTATTAATATTCCTATTTTTCCAACTGTTAGAAGAGGCAGGAGAACACCAGTTCCTCGTTTTTAAAGAGAGAGTTCAAGGAAAGGACCTGTTATTATTTTAAATATAATAATTCCAGAGGCCGGCTATCATTCTCAACTCTGTCATGGCCGCGATAGTAAGTGGTAACGATCACGAGTTAGCGCTCGAGGAGGCTCTACAGCGGATAGGAGGAGAGCCAGGGACTGATGAAGAAGACGACGAGGAACTAAGTGTTGTCGAGTACGACGAGGAAGAACAGCGACCACCAGCACCAACGGCCAGTGTAGTATCAGGCCCGGCGCCAGAGACCACCACTAATGGCGACAATGGAGCAGGAGGAGGAGGGAGATACGAAGTGCCAGAGCCTTATATTGGGACACCCTCTAACTCTGTTCCTTTGAAAGAAGTCCTCGGGGAGTATAGATCCTTTATGCTTTTCAGGCGGTTCCTAAAGGATCAGTGCATTACCCGTAACCTCCAGTTCTGGCTGGCATGCGAGTATTATCACACGCAGATGCCCCTCGAAGGCATCAAAGCTGCCAAAGCCATCTACTGTCGTTTCCTAAAAAGCTCTGCTCCACTTCACGTCTCCATCCTAGAGGCAACAAAAAGAAAAATTTGTACAATAGTACAGCTTGGCTCTCCCCCTGGTTACACACTGTTCCTTGAGGCTCAGCAAGAGGTGTATAACCAAATGGAAGTCAATGAACTTCAGCAGTTTCTCTGTTCTGACTCTTTCTCAGAATGCTCTCAGTTCCCCACGCGTGGTCCCACACAGAACATGTATGGGTCTGTGAGCGGGGATATTGGCTTTCAGCCGTCTCGCTATAGAAATGGCGGGTCGCTACATTCCAGCGACGATTCAACCTCTGTTACCAGTTTTGCATCAGAGTAAGTGACATTTTAACCTTATGTTGTACGTAATCGGCTCTCTCTCTCTCTCTTTCATTTAATCCATTTAAGGGATGTTGGGTCAACTCATACGCAAGTATTGTGTTTACCGCACCACACCAAATCTGTTTATACTCCCAGGAATGCTCATTCTGACACTGAACACTCATCATCACATGTAATTAATAATACTTGTCCTATTTATGTGCGTATGCGTGTGTGTTTCTCTTATTACTCTCCTCTTAATTTTATTTTTAATGGTGTTGTTATTGCACTGTTATATGTTGCCAATTGATTTTATATGTCTCCTTTGTCTTTCTTCCTTTTTGTTGTAGCCTCGAAGGCAGCAATATGCAGGACCGACCACACACATATCAAGGAACAAAGTATTGACACAGAACCAGTTCTACGAGATCGTCTGCGAGAAGCTCAGTGCCGTTCAAAGAGACAGGACGGCAATGAAGCAGAGAGCAAGAAATATAGCAAGGATAGCAGGGAAATCCTACGAGGACATAATGGTTTGTAATTATTTGACCACATTGACATGAAATCCGTTATCTCTCTGTCTCTTTCCACAGTCAATAGATTGGTTTGATACACCAGAGGCCATTAAATATGTGTGTTTTGATGACGAAGGAACTGCTGCTGGAGCTGACGATGGACTCCATTCTCCTCCCCTCTCTCTTCCCCCTCCTCACAAGCAGTCCGTGGGGAAGAGGACAACAGTGGAATCATCCGACACGCCTCCTTCATCGACTTCTGGTGCACCCTCGCATCATCTCATCAGCTTTGGACTGAAAGAGATACAAGAAGCTCTGAGAGACCTTGACATTGCTAGCCAGGTAAGAATGAGAGAGAGAGGAGACACACTGGGGAGACATAAAAAGGAGGCAGTAGTTACATCACACTCTTCATGTTTCATAGGTCAGACAAAAGAGATCCTCAACACTTATGTCAAGCTCTGCCTCCAGTTACATCAGTGATAGTGGAGTTGGGGAGAGCAACCTTCCTTCCAGTGGAAGTGGTGGGCCTGGACCCAGCAGTGGGCATAACAGCAGACTCTCTAATCGTGTCCATGCTTATCTTCAGAATCAGCAACGTGTCACCAGTCAACAGTCAGAGAGAGAAGCTCAGGCTCAGCTTGTGGCTACAATGCTTATGAATAATTCTGTCCCATCTGATGAGCTCAATCCTTATCATAACAATGGACGGAGATCATATGCTAATTATCCTGGGGCTTATTCTTCTGACGATTCGTCGTCTTGTTTCACTGCTACCTCTCACTCGTCTAATTCTGAGTTCTTTGTTCCGAGAAGACCGCATCCTCTTTACGGGGACTCGAATGACGAATCAAGACAACAGTCGCATCATCATTCACGGTAAGGGAAGGAGAGAAAGAGAGAGA